CGCTCCCGCCCGCCTTAAGGCGCCTCCCGGCGGCGGGACCCGGGGCTGCCGGGCCCTGCGCTGCTCCCCGAGGCCTGGTTGCTGCAGCTCTGAGCGCAAGGAGAGGTCCCGGCCCACCCCCCTCCCCCGAGTTCCAGCCGGTGTGCCTGGAGGGCAGGAGGGACCAGAACCGCCTCCGCGGTGCCAAACTGTGCCTAGACACGCATATTGTTTTGCTGCTCTGGAGTCGTCGTCCCTTCGCCAGCGGGAGGCACAGCCGAGGCTGCAGGTGAGGTGGCAGCTTTACCGATTTAACCGTTACTCGTCTGAAAAAAACGTTTCCTTCATCTCGCCTTGCCTAGGTAGCAGGTGACAGGTCTTTATGCACCTTCGGTCTGTAAATGTGCCTCTGATTCTGGGACCCTAGAAACGTTGCCTTTGTCCTTTCTTCCTTCCTTCCTTTTCCCATTTTCCAGGTGCTGTTTGGCTTGTGAAGGGAAGACTCGCCCGTCGAGCTCTAATTTTTCAGGCTGACTTAACACGTCTTGAAGAACGAGAAAATTTTAATGAAAATTACTGACAGACCCTTAATTATAGAGTAACACCTATGACAAAAACAAAAAAAAAACCAACATAAAAATAGAGCAACACCCATCATAACATTGTAAGTTGTGTTTTCGCGGGTGAGAGAAATACCGTTTGCTGTTGGAATAATTGCTCTGCAGCAAAATATGGTTACTGACACTGGGTCTTGAATTAAAGAGCAACTGCATATTGGGCTATTCCGTGTGCCCCACATCATCGTGAGGAAAAGGCGAGCCATGTTGCTTTGCTTGTAGAATCTTTTAAGTAATAAAACATTTTTTTTTTTAAGCACAGTGGTCGTTTGAGGCTGTCTGAGAGGGAGCACACGGCGAGCATCATTATTTCTCTCCTGTCTGGTCGGGCCTGTCATGGTAGCAGTGAGAGCAAGGAAGATGTTGCAGCCTCAAGGATCTCACCCAGACCTGAGCACTGCAGATGGTGATCCTGAAGCTGAGTGTGACTTATTCATGAGACAGATAAACAGGACCCTGAGCCATCTATCTGCCAGCATACTATACAGCAGTTTTACAAAGGTGGAAGTGCAGAAGGAAGACTTACAAATGAGTTCACTGCTTTCTGTCACCCTTTGTTTGTCTGGGGAGCACAAAGTGTCTTGAAATTGCAACAATTTGCGTGCCTAACTTCAAAAACAGAGGGAGGTTGGGGAGCTTGATATATATAGAAGAATTTCTCAGCTGTTTCAGATAGCAGCCGGGTTACTTTGCCTGTGTCCACGTGAAAATTTGCAGACCAAAGGAAATGATCTTCACCTGCACTTCAGGCTGACAGCAGGCTTCTGTGTTTGCACATCCCTAGCACATCCCACCAGCACAAGGCAGCGTGGGGATGCCTGTGCCCTAAGTCATAACCTGTGTGTTGCTAGTGAATACCAAAGCTCCATCACCAAGGTCAGCATGCCAGCTCCCTTCATGCACGGGGCAGCAGACTAAGCCTACTGATAGCACACAGCTGTTGCTGGGGGGAAAGTAAAGAACAGGAATGGGAAGACAACTGTCCAGGCTGCACAGGGAGGTTGCGGAGGGTGTTTCCTCCTAACCAGGGCACTTATGCTTTCATCTCAGGACTAGCAACATACTTTCTACAATTTCTTTTCCAACTTTCCAGAGATGGTGTCTTATCCAAGCACTGCGAGCAGTGTCAAGTGAACAGCATGAGAAAGCCTGGTGGTATACACTGAAAAAATACAGCCTTCTTTGAACAAGAAAAAAATACTATAGTGTTACTCATACTGTCTGGCTACCTTTGATACTGGTGATCTGAGCCTAGTATCAATGTGCTGCAGTTTAAAGTGCAAACCTGTCATGTTTTTCATGCTTATGGATTTCCCATCATTTAACCCTTTGTTTAGGAGAAGAAAACAGAGGCATAGACACACCAGAAGCATTGCCCAAGCTCACAAATGGCAGTCAGGAACAGCATCCAGATTTCATCAGTTTTAGTTCAGCTGCTGAACCTGTGCCCTAAGTCATAACCTGTGTGTTGCTAGTGAATACCAAAGCTCCATCACCAAGGTCAGCATGCCAGCTCCCTTCATGCACGGGGCAGCAGACTAAGCCTACTGATAGCACACAGCTGTTGCTGGGGGGAAAGTAAAGAACAGGAATGGGAAGACAACTGTCCAGGCTGCACAGGGAGGTTGCGGAGGGTGTTTCCTCCTAACCAGGGCACTTATGCTTTCATCTCAGGACTAGCAACATACTTTCTACAATTTCTTTTCCAACTTTCCAGAGATGGTGTCTTATCCAAGCACTGCGAGCAGTGTCAAGTGAACAGCATGAGAAAGCCTGGTGGTATACACTGAAAAAATACAGCCTTCTTTGAACAAGAAAAAAATACTATAGTGTTACTCATACTGTCTGGCTACCTTTGATACTGGTGATCTGAGCCTAGTATCAATGTGCTGCAGTTTAAAGTGCAAACCTGTCATGTTTTTCATGCTTATGGATTTCCCATCATTTAACCCTTTGTTTAGGAGAAGAAAACAGAGGCATAGACACACCAGAAGCATTGCCCAAGCTCACAAATGGCAGTCAGGAACAGCATCCAGATTTCATCAGTTTTAGCTGAACCAGCTTTCCCTGTTGTGGTCTCTTGAGCAGTTCGCCAGAGTTTTAGAAGCCAGGCTATTGAAAGGATTAGCATGCTGTTCAAATCCTCATGTCAGCGTTTGGGATAGAGCTGCTTAAGGGCACCTCAGACATTCCTTTACTGGACAGGTTTTAATTTGTAATTATTTATACTTCTCTTTGTACATGATGTCTAGAGAAGATTTATTTTTGGATGATGAACCTTTTTTTTTTTAATACCGTTTTCAAATGCCTTCCCTCTAGAAACGGAGTCCTCAGCAAACTCAGATGCTTGGTAATGAATGCCCTCTTCTGTTTAAATCCAGCATTGCTGCTGTAGACGAACACGAGTACTCAACCGCAGGACTGCAGAATTCTTTAAAACATATTTTACAAATACCATCTTGCCCTTCTTTCCAAGTAAAAGTAATCATTCTTAGGAGAAACCAGTTGCAGAATCTAGGCAGTCCTCCTGGAGATGCCTTGACACGGGCAGAACTGCAATTTCATTTAAAAGTTATCCTCTGACACGTTCTCTTTGTTTTCAGCTGTTGACTCCTAGAGATACGGCACTCTAGTCTCATAACCAATTTTATTAACAGCTTGATTTTTTTATAGGCTCCAGGATTTCCACCAGAGTTCTGAGACCAGTAACACTGGGACTTGTAGTTCGTTCTTCTTTCCTTTATCATGGGTGACTCCTGTTTCCTCAAAGGCCTCTCCTTTTTCACTTGATTTAAACCTCTTTATCAAAGCAACCATAGAAAGAGCTATCCCTTAATTCAATTTAATGAGAAATTTTCAGGACATTGGGTGGCATAAGAAGGGCTCTGACCTGTACAAACTGCTATATAAAAATGGCAGCCCTGATGGATTGAATATACTTAATAGTACTGTGTCTCTCAGCTCCTTAATAAGCCTGGAGACTTGTGTAGCATGAGTAAGCCTAATTAAGGATGAAATAAGCCTTTTCTCTTCTAAATATTCACCCTGATACACCCTGCCTTATGTGCAGAGAAAGCCTCAAAGGGACTTAGCAGCCACCAGCCACTTCACTGTGATTATTCTTGTCCCTGCTTTCTACCACCCTCCTGCAGGTGCCCAGCTCAGGACTTGTCTCCCGTTTCCTCACCTCTTTTGCTGTCTGCCTTGCTTCCTTGAGTATGACCTACAGATGTTTATAGCACCCTCTTTCCTCACAGAGACCCCAACTTCCTGCCCTCTCTCCCCAGGAAAAACCCCAGTTCAGCTAACTCCCTTCTTATCTACTGCCTTTGCCCTCATCACTCTCTAAGCCCTTTCCCTGCCATCTTGTTTAATGCCCTCCCAAATCAGTGATTGAGATCCCACTCCCTCCTCACCTGTGATAGCCACTTACCTGCTGCTGGGCTCCCTGGCTCCAGTGGAGAGTGAGTAGTATAGGGATGTGCAGAACCACACAGAGGGAGGGTAAATGACAGCAGCATCATTCCTCCTTAGTTGAATTAGCTGCTGGAAGCTCACAGTTGAGCAGACAATTGCTGAAGTCCAGCAGTTTTAGTGTGAAGTTAAATAAGAGCAAAACAGCATGTTTTGGTCAAGGCCAATTTGCTTTGTCCAAGTATGCATTTGGTAATCGGA